ACCATTTGATAGAATGTATCCCACTCCCAATGGATCCAACTCTCCCAATGGATCCCACTCCTACAAGCTCATCACTGCGACCTGTCAATCCAGTAGACGGTGGCAATGGACTTCCATTGGATCCCACTCCCAATGGCTCCCATTTCTGCAGGCTCATCACTGCAACCTGTCAATCCAGTAGATGGTGGCAAAGGGTGGAGTGATGTGACTGAGCAATAAACCCCAATTAAATTCTGTCACTTTTATGTTAAGCCGGATTTGTAGCAGGAGCCACCATTTGATAGAATGTATCCCACTCCCAATGGATCCAACTCTCCCAATGGATCCCACTCCTACAAGCTCATCACTGCGACCTGTCAATCCAGTAGACGGTGGCAATGGACTTCCATTGGATCCCACTCCCAATGGCTCCCATTTCTGCAGGCTCATCACTGCAACCTGTCAATCCAGTAGATGGTGGCAAAGGGTGGAGTGACGTGACTGAGCAATAAACCCAATTAAATTCTGTCACTTTTATGTTAAGCCGGATTTGTAGCAGGAGCCACCATTTGATAGAATGTATCCCACTCCCAATGGATCCAACTCTCCCAATGGATCCCACTCCTACAAGCTCATCACTGCGACCTGTCAATCCAGTAGACGGTGGCAATGGACTTCCATTGGATCCCACTCCCAATGGCTCCCATTTCTGCAGGCTCATCACTGCAACCTGTCAATCCAGTAGATGGTGGCAAAGGGTGGAGTGACGTGACTGAGCAATAAACCCAATTAAATTCTGTCACTTTTATGTTAAGCCGGATTTGTAGCAGGAGCCACCATTTGATAGAATGTCTCACACTCCCAATGGATCCAACTCTCCCAATGGATCCCACTCTCCTAATGGATCCCACTCCTACAAGCTCATCACTGCGACCTGTCAATCCAGTAGACGGTGGCAATGAACTTCCATTGGATCCCACTCCCAATGGCTCTCATTTCTGCAGGCTCATCACTGCAACCTGTCAACCCAGTAGATGGTGGCAATGGGTGGAGTGACGTGACTCAATAACCCTAATAAAGTTCCGTCAGTTTTACAGTTTTTACTCCAATAAAAACAAAAGCTACTCTGCCTGACTCCAACTTCCCATCACCGGCAATTAATCTTTTACAAGATCGCTCCCACAATGACATACAAGGTCCAAATTGCTACGAGTACGTTACATGGAGGCTATAATTGTGGCACAGAATATGACCAGGACAGCACAACTGTGTATTGCAGCGATATAAATGTTATATATGAACAATAGTAGCCTAATCTCTAGTTAATATTTAAACAGCTATATATCCTGTGTGCTGAACTGTAGGGCACACGTTATCTATACCAGAGATAACACAGCTATAGCTGGTGACCCTGATTTATTTTAAGCCACTGGCAATAAAAGCTGCAAGTTAACCTGTAAAAAAGTGAAAGTTTTGTTTAAATAACTGCCATTTTTTTTGTTTTGGATGGAGTAGTAAAGAGCTACAACACCTGTCAAGTTTTTATCACTACCATATATGACGTTTATTCTGTTACACAGTCCATTGCGCTCCATACTCAAACCAACATGTTTCAGGGGTCCAAAAACAACCCTTCATCAGGGCTAAAATCAGCAAAAATTATATATACACAATGAAAGCCTAATTCCACATTAAAGTGTCATCAAACCCAGAATGTAAAAATGTGTTCACATGGTATACTACAATGTGTTCATACTGACTTAATCATTTCCCCCTTACAGGGGTTGGACAAAATTATGGAAACAAACAAAATTGTTACCCAATACGGTGTTGGACCACCTTTGGCATCCAAAACGGCCTGAATTTTCCTGGGAATTGCCAAATATATGTCTTGGATGGTGGATAATGGAATCTGACACTTTTCATGCAAAAAGAGTTCCAGTTCTCGCAGAGATGCCGGAGGTGGAAGCACAAGCTTGAACCATGTTCTTCAAAATTGACCATAGTGGCTCTACAATATTGAAGTCTGGAGACTGTGGTGCCCAGCGAAAGTGCGAGACTTCATCTGCATGCTTGTCAAACCATGATTTGCTATTACCAGCTGTGTGAATCAGAGCATTATGGCCTTGGTAAATGGTTCCTCCCATGCCCGTCTCCAGGATTTCTCCAGGGCTTCCCCCATCCTCTGGAACTCTCTACCCCAATCCATCAGACTGTCACCTACCCTCCTCAACTTTAGGCACACCCTGAAAACCCATCTCTTCAGAGAAGCCTACCCCGCCCTCTCCTAACTGCTGATCTCCTCCGCTCTCCCCACCACTCCATCCCCCACAGCTATTTCCTCCTGTACCACTATCCCCTCCCTCCTAGATTGTAAGCTCCAAGGAGCAGGGCCCTCGAACCCCTCTTGTATTTTATTGTATTGTTACTGTACTGTCTCATGTATTGTCTCCCATTGTAATGTACAGCGCTGAGCGAACTGTTGGCGCTTTATAAATACTGTATAATAATAATAAATGGAGCTGTCTTCGGGAAACAATGTCTGTACCATGGATGCACATGGTCGGCACAATTTTCTACATAGACGCTGGCAGTGACTCTACCTTTCAAGGTGATGATGGAACCTACAGTATACCAAGATATGGCTGCCCATACTATGATTTCGCCACTACCATGCTATGCCGTTGGCACAAGACAGTCCTGGACATAAGCTTGGGATGGTGTTCTTCACACAAACACATCCGGTGGTTGGGAACTCCGTGAACCTCGATTCATTGGACCACGTTACAGTCTTCCATTGATCGATAATCCACAGTTTATGGGTGTTGCATCATTCTCTCCTCTTCAGAGCATTAATATCGGTCACTAGTGGTTTGGCAATTGCAGCTCACCCATGAATGTTTTGCTCATGGAGTTCCCTCCGTGTTTGTGGACACGGGCTTTGGAAGACTGAGATCGAGCTCTGCAGTCACTTTTGCAGCAGTTGTTTTCTTATTCCGCGTCACAATCCTGCGCAATGTCCTTTTGTCTCTTTTGGTCAGTTGACCATGCCGACCGTGCTGTTGCTTATCAGACGACGTTTTCCTGGAAACTGTATGTTCTGTCATAACCTCCGATACTGGACCTCGCGACACAGCAAATAAATCGACAACTTCTGTCACAGAGGCCCCAGCTGAGCGGCACCAACAATGCTTTCTTTGAAGCTCAGTAAGCTCTGATATGACTCCGTATTACTAGCAGCGCACTCAGTGAATGAGGAAAGTGAGGCTTCCCACCTCTTAGCTAGGTGTCTCATCACACAGCGGAAGCAAAAAGAATGTTACATTACTTCCGCTTTCAATGATAAACATATCGTCACTTTCACACCTGCATAGCATGTAGTGTTTCCATATTTCTGTCCAACCCATGCACTTTAATGTAGATTTTAAAAAACCTGGCTGATCCTGCGGTTCGCTGATGATCCCCCTTTGCGCATGTCCCCGCTACAGCCTGTGATTGTATGGATCACCTGTTGCTACATCCTGCGCATGCTCCGTTTTCAGTTCCCTTTCAAGCTTTTCATTCGTGGGGCAGCGACAGAACTTTGATTAACAGCAGTTTCTCCTCACCCGCCCCTTGTGACACTTATGCGGGGGGAGGGGCACCGGAAATTTAACTTCTTCTCAGATGCCTCACATGACTTTCCTGAATGTGCACTTCTGCCTATTTTCTGAATGCGTATTCTTGACTGTGACGCCTGACAGGCGACTGACAAGAAGGAAAGGCTGCTTTCAATCAACGTTCTGGCAGCTGTGAAGGAGAAGCTACTGTCAATCAGAGTTCTTGAACTGCCCCACAAAATTGTAGGTGTGTCATGTGGGGCGGTAACAAAGACAAAAAAGAATTTCTTTCATGTGAATGGACCAGATAAAGCACACTTGACATGTATAATTTTTTTTTTATTGAAAAATCTTTTCATATTTGGATCTTTTCTTTTACAATTTTTTTTTTTTTTATTACAAAAGCATGCAGTTGGCAGAGCACCAATCAGCTCTGTGAAGCCACGGGTAAAGGAAGTGAGCTCCACCCACATCATGGCTAAAGACTCACACAGAAGCTGGGAGATGATCATCATGTGACTGGGTCATAGTATTTAGAATACTTAAAATTATGCAAACCATGACGGTAAAGCAAGTTTTCACTACACATATGTTGTTCTATATATGTTCTGTGTGTTCTATGAATGAATACAAAGCTTCTTCTGATTGGCTGAGGTGGACAGATTATTTCAGGTACTTATATAGCTCCGTCCATTTACGCAGCACTTTACATATATATTGTACATTCACATCAGTCCCTAACCCTCAAGGGGCGTACAATCTAAGGTCCCTAACCCTCAAGGGGCGTACAATCTAAGGTCCCTAACCCTCAAGGGGTGTACAATCTAAGATCCCTAACCCTCAAGGGGCGTACAATCTAAGGTCCCTAACTCACATTCATACATACACATACTAGGGACAATTTAGACAGGAGCTAATTCACCTACCAGCATGTCTTTGGATTGTAGGAGGAAACCGGAGTACCCGAAGGAAACCCACACAGGCACAGGGAGAACATGCAAATTCCAGGCAGGTGGTGCCATGGTTGGGAATTGTACCTACAACCCGAGTACTGCCAGGTGGAAGTGCTAACCATTTAGCCACTGTGCTGCGCTCAGACGAGGTCATGATCTCCACCTCAGCCGAAGGAAGCTTTGTATTCATTCATAAAAGTGCTAAGCAGTACTCATTCGACTCTATTTTGTTCCAGGAGTGGGAAAGCGAAGTTCACACCACTCAATTGCTCTCTGAAGAGTGACTTGAAAGCAGATGGCTCTTTCAAGACCAAAGAAAATGTGAAGGAGCCCTTAGCCTCCTGTATCTGGTGGCTCCTTAGAATCCCAGAAGTAGACCTGATGTGTGGGAAAGGTACAACCAGGCAACTTGTGTCAACCATACTTTTAAAAGATTAGCATAGATAGATTTACAAAAAACAAAAACTACCTGAACCTGAAGACTTTGACGAGGCCCCAGACATGCTTGCCGCCCTCTCAGTGGGCTGGTACCAGTTGGATGACTCTCTTTTATCAGGACGGATGGCTTTGATCCGCCCTGCTCCTGGAAGAGACATACAACATTACCACACAAGGAAAAGTACTTCATTTGGTTAACAACTCTTTAAAAAATTTAATAGAAAAACGTTAAAAGTGTCTAACAATCATTTAATACTTCTAAATAATACTTTCACCCACTTTCCATGCAGTGGCAACAAAGCCAGCATGCAGACCAGGACCCCAGCACCCTAAAAAATGTTGTGTCTTTATCCCGCATCTAAACACTGGTAAGCTGTAATGGGCCATTTCATTTTTATTCTTAGTTTTAGATACAGTTTAAGTGGTTATTATTTCTAGACTGCATCTTGCCAAAACAAGTGAGGCCTTTGCTCTGAAACAAGGCCACCAGCCCCAGAGAAGCTGCCTTAGCTCTTTGCCCGAGACCAGACCTGCTCTGCAAACTGCCACAACTCAAAGAACACATATACAGCAGCTGTCAAGAACTACATTTAAAGGGCAGCCAGGGCAGGAGGTAAAATAGCCCCCTTGAGGGATCAGGTAGGAGAGTAGACAGACCCTGTGAGGGCTCAGGAAGGAGAGTAGACCCTGCGAGGGCTCAGGCAGGAGAGTAGACAGACCCTGCGAGGGCTCAGGAAGGAGAGTAGACCCTGCGAGGGCTCAGGCAGGAGAGTAGACAGACCCTGCGAGGGCTCAGGAAGGAGAGTAGACCCTGCGAGGGCTCAGGAAGGAGAGTAGACCCTGCGAGGGCTCAGGAAGGAGAGTAGACCCTGCGAGGGCTCAGGAAGGAGAGTAGACCCTGCGAGGGCTCAGGAAGGAGAGTAGACCCTGCGAGGGCTCAGGCAGGAGAGTAGACAGACCCTGCGAGGGCTCAGGAAGGAGAGTAGACCCTGCGAGGGCTCAGGCAGGAGAGTAGACAGACCCTGCGAGGGCTCAGGAAGGAGAGTAGACCCTGCGAGGGCTCAGGCAGGAGAGTAGACAGACCCTGCGAGGGCTCAGGAAGGAGAGTAGACCCTGTGAGGGTTAAGGCAGGAGAGTAGACCCTGCGAGGGCTCAGGCAGGAGAGTAGACCCTGAGAAGGCTCAGGCAGGAGAGTAGACCCTGCGAGGGCTCAGGCAGGAGAGTAGACAGACCCTGCGAGGGCTCAGGAAGGAGAGTAGACCCTGCGAGGGCTCAGGCAGGAGAGCAGACAGACCCTGCGAGGGCTCAGGAAGGAGAGTAGACCCTGCGAGGGTTAAGGCAGGAGAGTAGACCCTGTGAGGGTTAAGGCAGGAGAGTAGACCCTGCGAGGGCTCAGGCAGGAGAGTAGACCCTGCGAGGGCTCAGGCAGGAGAGTAGACAGACCCTGCGAGGGCTCAGGAAGGAGAGTAGACCCTGTGAGGGTTAAGGCAGGAGAGTAGACCCTGCGAGGGCTCAGGCAGGAGAGTAGACCCTGAGAAGGCTCAGGCAGGAGAGTAGACCCTGCGAGGGCTCAGGCAGGAGAGTAGACAGACCCTGCGAGGGCTCAGGAAGGAGAGTAGACCCTGCGAGGCTCAGGCAGGAGAGCAGACAGACCCTGCGAGGGCTCAGGAAGGAGAGTAGACCCTGTGAGGGTTAAGGCAGGAGAGTAGACCCTGTGAGGGTTAAGGCAGGAGAGTAGACCCTGCGAGGGCTCAGGCAGGAGAGTAGACCCTGCGAGGGCTCAGGCAGGAGAGTAGACCCTGCGAGGGCTCAGGCAGGAGAGTAGACCCTGCGAGGGCTCAGGCAGGAGAGTAGACCCTGCGAGGGCTCAGGCAGGAGAGTAGACCCTGCGAGGGCTCAGGCAGGAGAGTAGACCCTGCGAGGGCTCAGGCAGGAGAGTAGACCCTGCGAGGGCTCAGGCAGGAGAGTAGACCCTGCGAGGGCTCAGGCAGGAGAGAAGGCCCTGCGAGGGCTCAGGCAGGAGAGAAGGCCCTGCGAGGGCTCAGGCAGGAGAGTAGGCCCTGCGAGGGCTCAGGCAGGAGAGTAGGCCCTGCGAGGGCTCAGGCAGGAGAGTAGACCCCGCGAGGGCTCAGGCAGGGAGAGTAGACCCTGCAAGGGCTCAGGCAGTAAAGAACACAGCCCCTGTGAGGACTCAGGCAACAGAGATGACAGCCTCTGAGAGGGATCAGGCAGGAGAGATGACAGCCTCTGAGAGGGCTCAGGCGGGAGAGAAGACAGTCTCTGTGAGGGCTCAGGCAGGAGAGAAGACAGTTCCTGCGAGGGCTCAGGCAGGAGAGAAGGCAGGCGAGAAGACAGCCCCTACAGGGGCTCAGGCAGGACAGAAGGCAGGCGAGAAGACAATCCCTGCGAGAGCTCAGGCAGGAGAGAAGAAAGTCCCTGCGAGGGTTCAGGCAGGAGAGAAGACAGTCCCTGCGAGGGCTCAGGCAGGAGAGAAGACAGTCCCTTTGGGGGCTCAGGCAGGAGAGAAGACAGTCCCTGTGAGGGCTCAGGCAGGAGAGAAGACAGTCCCTGCGAGGGTTCAGGTAGGAGAGAAGGCAGGCGAGAAGACAGCCCCTGCGAGGGGTCAGGCAGGCGAGAAGACAATCACTGCGAGAGCTCAGGCAGGAGAGATGACAGTCCCTGTGAGGGCTCATGCAGGAGAGAAGACAGTCCCTGCGAGGGTTCAGGCAGGAGAGAAGACAGTCCCTGCGAGGGCTCAGGCAGGAGAGAAGACAGTCCCTGCGAGGGCTCAGGCAGGAGAGAAGACAGTCCCTTTGAGGGCTCAGGCAGGAGAGAAGACAGTCCCTTTGAGGGCTCAGGCAGGAGAAAAGACAGTCCCTGTGAGGGCTCAGGCAGGAGAGAAGACAGTCCCTGTGAGGGCTCAGGCAGGAGAGAAGACACTGCAATAAAAAAAAATGATTTTCCAGCCTGCTGGCCAATCTATCTCTGCAGTGGCTTTTGTATTGATTTACAAATACAAACAGTTAACATACAGAGCAATTAAAGACATCTACTATTTTCTAAAGCTCATGATGCTCATAAAAGAAACCCAATAGAGAAAAATCCTTATATTGTACACATATATTGACCCATAAAAGTCATAAGCATCAAATAAAATTGTTCAGATCTATATTTTATGATGGTTTAAATAAAAAACAAACAGTCCTGGAATTTCGGCTCATTTTCCTAAACAGCCATCTATGCACTGGAATGCGTCAAAAACGCACCGGAACGTGCCAAAAACACGCATGCAAAAACACATCCGGAAGGCATCTGGACTTCATTTCTATAGTGTGAACCGGCCCTAAACCCCATACTTTGAAACTCTTCCATATACCCAGTGAAGTGACTGGCCTCAAGCGATATACAGAGATGAAATACATCCTTATATAAAAGTTGTACCTGTTTATCGCACTGGAATTGCCAGCACTGATGTGAACTATGACACTGACAACCATATCACCTACTTTGTGTGTTTTGGATACAGAAATAAAAAAACACACTGAAAACGCATGTAGTGTGAACTGCCCCTAAAACAAAAATAAAGACACATACTCACCTCCATGCTGCAGCACCGGTGTGATGCTCATTCGCATCCATGCATGCAAGAAACACGTGCAAAATCATGTACTTTACCAAAACGGTACAGAAACAATCTGCTCTTTAGCAGATACATGGAGTGCCATTAAATGTTAACGCCACTCCTAGGCAAACGCCCACATTTGTGCATGTGCCAAGCTGCTTGATGCCATTTGGATTGGCAGCTTTTAAAAATGGGTCGGGGACTTCTTTTCTCACATTTCTCCCGGGGAGGGCAGCGCACTAAAATGAATGGTCTGCCCTACACGGGATGCATGGGCGCATGCAAAAAAAAAAAACCAAAAAAAACCTGTATAATGTAAATCTAGCCTAAGACCGAAAATTGAGTGAGGGGAGCGGGACTGCTGCTCTCTCTAACAGAGACTTGTCCAATCAGAGAGTGTTCCAATAGGCCCCTCTGCACACAGTACCCTCTGCATGCCCCCAGCAAACAGACTGAGCTGTCGAGGACCACTCGCAATCTGAGCTAAAGATTGGTAGCCAGAGGGAACACCTTCCACCTGTGATAGTGGCCACTCTCTGGACCCCGCATTCCCTATATTCACTCTCCCGGGACCCTGCATTCCCTATATCCGCTCTCCCGGACCCTGCATTCCTATATCCGCTCTCCCCGGACCCCGCATTCCCTATATCCGCTCTCCGCAGATCCCGCATTCCCTATATCCGCACTCCCCGGACCCCGCATTCACTATATCCGCTCTCCCCGGACCCCGCATTCACTATATCCGCTCTCCCCGGACCCCGCATTCACTATATCCGCTCTCCCCGGACCCCGCATTCACTATATCCGCTCTCCCCGGACCCCGCATTCACTATATCCGCACTCCCCGGACCCCGCATTCACTATATCCGCTCTCCCCGGACCCCGCATTCACTATATCCGCTCTCCCCGGACCCCGCATTCACTATATCCGCTCTCCCCGGACCCCGCATTCACTATATCCGCTCTCCCCGGACCCCGCATTCACTATATCCGCTCTCCCGGACCCCGCATTCACTATATCCGCTCTCCCCTGACCCTGCGTTCACTATATCCGCTCTCCCCGGACCCCGCATTCACTATCGCTCTCCGCTCTCCCCCCGGACCCCGCATTCACTATATCGCTCTCCCCGGACCCGCCGCATTCACTATATCCGCTCTCCCCGGACCGGCATTCACTATATCCGCTCCCCCGGACCCCGCATTCACTATATCCGCTCTCCCCGGACCCCGCATTCACTATATCCGCTCTCCCCGGACCCCGCATTCACTATATCCGCTCTCCCCGGACCCCGCATTCACTATATCTGCTCTCCCTGGACCCTGCATTCACTATATCTGCTCTCCCCGGACCCCGCATTCACTATATCCGCTCTCCCCGGACCCCGCATTCACTATATCCGCTCTCCCCTGACCCTGCGTTCACTATATCCGCTCTCCCCGGACCCCGCATTCACTATATTCGCTCTCCCCGGACCCCGCATTCACTATATCCGCTCTCCCGGACCCGCATTCACTATATCTGC